TCCAACTCCATCTCCAACTCCATTTCCAACTCCATCTCCAACTCCATTTCCAACTCCATCTCCAACTCCATTTCCAACTCCATCTCCAACTCCATCTCCAACTCCATCTCCAACTCCATCTCCAACTCCATCTCCAACTCCCAACTTGAACGCCAACGACCAGAAACCAAGCTCCCAAGCTTTCAAGCTACCAGAAAACCAACACCCGAGTCCTCCTCGACCTGTCACAACCCTCCGCCACGCCATTTAAGCGCCGTGGCTCGCTGGTTCCTGCATCACCGCATCAGTTCCCTACTTTCCTCCACCAACCAATCCGTGACCGTTCGTGCCGGTAGGGAGTGGTAGGTGGGTGCTCTACAGTACTCTTCCGAATTGGAGTCGAGTCTGTATCCACCTTCACCTCCACCTCCACCTCCCCAGCACCACCACCACCACCATCGCCATATGCCGTGAGTGCCGTGGGCGTCTACCCAACCGCCGAACCCACCCACCCACCCACCCACCTGTTTCCACCAGCATCAGTATCGGTATCATATCTAAAGCCACCCACGCACGCACCATGCCGCCTTCCTCGCGCCCCCAGAGACCGCGAGTCACGTCAGGCTCCCTCCCACCACCGCCATCAGCATCAGCGTCGCAGTTTTCGCTGCATACACCAGTTGAAGCACCCTCCACGACGACACGGCGACCAACACCAGGACCAGGACCAGGACCGGTGCCGCAGTATATACAGTCGCAGGCTGTTGTATCGCCGCCTCTACCACCGCCGTTGCCGGATTTTAGGGGTGGTGAGTTGGCGCCTACAACTACTACTACTCCTGCTGCTGCAACAACGACAACACTTACGACGGCGAATTCACCCTTCTCCATACCGGCGCGTGAAGACCCGGCATCATCACAACCACACACCCAATTTCACTCCCCGATCGCCCCTGAACCGCAGTACTCCAGCCCGGGGCAGCAGTATTATACGCCGATCCACCAACACCCTCCAGCAGCAGCGCCGGCACCGCAATACTATCCCCAAACTCATAATCCTACTCCTACTCCTAATAATCCCCCATCAACGTCGCAACCGTCATCACCACTCTACCCCCCAGCCGGAACTATGGCGAGCACTGGCGCTCCAGGTCCGGGAGTTGAAGGACAGCAATTTGAAGCACAGGGACAACAGCAGCAAGGACAGGAAGTGTACCCCCTCCAAGCGCTCCCGCCGCAGCCAGCGCAGTCGCCGCCGCCGCCGTTTGATTATCCGCATCACGGCGGGGAGGGGCAGCAGCAGCAGCAATATTACCCACCGCCGCCGGCACAGGTGCTGGCGCAGGCGCAGGGAGAAGAGCGGCAGGGACAAGAGCATCAGTACCAGCAGCAGTATCAGCAGCAGCAATACTACCCACCACCACCAACCCAAGCGCAGGTCCAAGATCCCCAGCACCAACAACAACAACAACAACAACAACAGGACCAGCCGCAATACCAAGAGCAGCAACCGCAGCAGCAATACTACCCACCACCAACCCAAGCGCAGGTCCAAGATCCCCAGCACCAACAACAACAACAACAACAACAACAGGACCAGCCGCAATACCAAGAGCAGCAACCGCAGCAGCAGTACTTCCCACCGCCTCCAATCCACGATCCCCATCAGCAACCCCAACCCCAACCCCCACAACAATTCCCTCCCCACACCAATCCGGACCCCCAGCCAACTCACACCTTCCCCTACGACGCCACCACCATGACCTTCCCGGGCTCCCCCTCCGCCACAACCACCACGACCACCAAACTCGCGACCCCGGGGATCCACGCGCCGGGACAGATCGGACATCCGAATCTGAAGATGGAGGAGGAGGCGTATCATCATGGACTTTGGGAGTGTTGTGGGGATGTGGGTGTCTGTGAGTTCCCTGTTTTTCCGTCACTCTGTCTTTTTCTCCTCGTGCGCCCTTGTGCGGCAGAAGTAGTAGAAGTAGTAGTAGAAGTCGTAGCAGAAGAAGAAGAAAAAGAAGAAGAAGAAAAAGAAGGAGATGAGACGAGCAGGAGAAGAGAAGATCAGACGTCGCAGCAAAGGACAGAGAGGCTTAGATAGATGACTGACCGAGACCTCCACCCACAGGCTGCACCGGCTTCTTCTGCCCCTGCATCCTCTACTCGCGCACCCATCAGCGCCTCAAATCCGCCTTATCCCCCAGCGCCTCCCCTCCCCCCGCCGCCAACAGCGCCTGCAACGCGTCGTGTGCGTTGTGGTGTGTTGTCTCGCCGTGTGCTTGTATGTTCATCATCTCCTTTATCCCCCCTCCCCCAGTATCCCGAAGAGAGCGAGAGTACGGAAACGACGACAGAATATAAGAGCCAATCGTTCTGGTGCTAACACCCCCAGGGATACTAACAACCCTCCAACGCACACGTATCCGCAACCACTACCATCTCCGCGGCTCGCTCGCCGGCGATTGCGTCAAAGCCTACTGCTGTGTGGGCTGTACGTTGGTACAGGATGAGAGGGAGGTTGTGCAGCGGGAGGAGGAGAGGAGGAGGTTTGCTGGGCCGGGGTATTCGGGGGTTGTTGCGGAGGAGGGGTATCAGAGGGTGCAGGGGATGGTGTATGCGTAGTGGGGAGGTGAGGTCGACAACGGGGTGGTGGGATTTAATTGATTGGTGGGGAATATAGATGTATGTTTGACGGGTTTGACAGTGTCGATGGGGTGGTTGCGATCAATGGGGTGTGGTGTGGTTACCGTAATTGTAAAAAAAAAAGAGGGCCCTAAAAATATATCGTCAAGAGCAGGGTTTGAACCTACGCGGGCGAACCCACTGGATTTCGGTGACTCGGAGAGTCAATTCAAGTCCAGCGCCTTAACCACTCGGCCATCTTGACAAGCGATGATGATGCTTATATCTTTAACATTCTATCAACGTTCTTTTAAAGTCACCACTTCATCGTCTCCGACCTCGCCCTCATCCTTGCATCACCCAGCACCCATCTGATCTCAGCACTGCATACCCGCAAACCACCCATCCATACCGAGCTCTCTGCCCCTCTCGGCCGCTCATCATCCCGTCGGCGCAACCCCAGCCGCGATCGAGACCCGGATGGGTGGGATGCCGATCGACTTGGGGGGGCGGAGTTCGGGGAGAAAAGAGCTTGGCGCGGCCGTGAACGCTGTGTTGTCACTCACTTGCTCACTCCCCGAGAGAAAGGAAGGGTCCAGTCCAATTTCTCCTGAGCTGCACACACTCGCACACACGACACCAACACCGACACGAAGAGCAACCACCGCCATCACCACCACGACGCCGGCACAGAGTACGGGAGCTGCTTCTGCTTACGGCTGACGAGGAAGTGAGGGCAGCAAGCAAGCAAGCAAACACGACGGGTGTTTGACGAGAGGGATCCCCTGATTACAACGACCACCCAACATCAGAGAACGACACCCACACTACACACACCCACAGATGCCACGAAAGATTGCTGCAACACCGGTGAACGGGCGGCCTAGGAGACACTCGAATCTGGGGGAGGATATCAGGGGGGACACGAGTGCGGCTGCGGTTGCGACGATGCCGACAACGGCTGAACAGGTGCGTTTGATGGCGATGACGATGATGGGGGAGGATCAAGGGATGAACCGCACGCTCGCTTGCGTGTCATGATGATTGATCCCCGCGTGGGCTGGCCCGTGCAATTGTGCGTGCTGACGACGAGAAACAGAGAGAGGCGTCACGGTTCCGAAGGCGGACCTTGTCGAAAGAGCGGAGACGCCCCAGGAACTGGTTTACCATATACCGGGAAGCATCGTACCGCCACACGTGGTGTGAGTGTTGATTTCCGGGGGTGTGGAGTGACGAGGGAGCAGGACTGACGGTGGATAGTAAACCCTTTGATCGCCATCATTGTCGGGTTCGTTGGATATCTTGTTAATCCAAAGGAAACCAATCCCCTCCACAGCGCCATCTTCCTCTCGTATCCCATCGGCCCGGATCCGAGCTACCACCAAGACCCCACTGCTCAGCAATATGGAAAAGGAACCAAGGATATTAATTTCGTCATCTTCTACACCTTCTTCTTCAGCTTTACCCGCGAGTTCCTGATGCAGCGGTACCTGCGCCCACTCGCGCACCGCTGTGGCATCACGAAAAAAGGCAAAGTCGCGCGATTCATGGAGCAAACCTACACCGCCATCTACTTCTCCTTCTTCGTACCATGGGGACTCTGGATTCTCTACAAGACCGAAATCTGGCGTTTCAACACACTCAGCACACGAGCATTCTACGAAAACTACCCCCACCGCACGCACACGGCTGAATTCAAGGCCTACTACCTCCTCCAAGCCGCATACTGGCTCCAGCAAGCAATCGTGCTCATGCTCCAGCTCGAGAAACCACGCTCAGATTTCAAGGAGCTCGTGTTGCACCACATCGTCACCGTCTCCCTGATCGCGCTCTCCTACCGCTTCCATTTCACCTGGATTGGCCTCGCAGTTTTCTTTACCCACGACTGCTCCGACTTCTTTCTCGCCACATCAAAAACCCTAAACTACCTCGACCATCCGCTCATCGGCCCGTATTTCGGCTTCTTCATCTTCGTGTGGATCTACATGCGACACTATATCAACCTCCGGATCATCTGGTCGCTGTTCACCGAGTTCCGCACTGTCGGCCCGTGGCTGCTGGACTGGGAAGCGGGCTTCTATAAGTGTTTTCTCGCGCAGACTATTACGACGGGGTTGTTGGGGAGTATTCAGGCGCTGAATCTGTTTTGGTTGTATTTTATTATAAGGATTGCGAAGAGGTTTGTGATGCAGAAGGAGGCAGTAGATGAGAGGAGTGAGGATGAGGCGGAAGAGGAGAGTGATGAGTAAGTTTCTGTTTCCCGTTGGTTGGGGAGGTAAGAGCTGATGTGTGCTGTGGGTATAGGCCGGTGAAGACTGATGTCAAGACCCCCGAAATCACCGTCAATGGCGAGAAGAAGATTTAATAATGTCGCGGCGGAGTCGACGCCCTCTTGATTAACCGCAGCGTCGCCACCACTAACCATCCATCACCACATCGATCCCAGCCCCGCGCCTTAGATATCATCACTCACCCTCATGGCAACAACCCAGGATACCATAATGCACCATTTTCACCGCTTTCACCTCATTCGCTACTCTTTTTCACCGCTCGTTTTTGTTTTCCCCCGTTTGCACCGTTTTGCTTTTTTATTTTTATTTTTTTTTCATTTTTTGAATATATTCCTAGCCGCTTTTTGACGCCCGTACGATACGAGATAGTATATAAAGAAAAAATTGTACACATGTACACATGGAATACATGACTGATTGGGATGGCATGGCATGGGATGGGATGGGGGTACTAATGGTGGGTTCGGGGTTTGGGGGTAATAATGGGTTTGGGGGTTCGGTTGGGATAGAGCTCGGCGGTGTCGTGTGGATATGTTTTCTTCTTCTAGTTTGAAGTTGGTTACTGGGGTGAGAGGGTGAGGGGATGTAGAGTATGTAGAGTATGGATGTAGCGTTGTAGCAATGTAAGTAGAGTACTGAGCTATATATCTATGTAATTCCAACTCTTCCAACTCTTCCACATCGTGTGCTGCATCAAACCATCAGACCATCAAAGACACGGACTCGGACTCAGAGATCCGAGATCGGAGGGGAGGGATAAATAACGACTCGGACTCACGAGAGCGGCGGCCCGCCGGCGGGTGCAGTCACGGTGGGGAGTTTTAAGAGTTGACAAAAGCATATTTATATATACCGGTACTGGAAAAGGCGGCAAAACCAACAAAAGAAGAAGAAGAAACTCCACTCATCTGCAATACCCAGTAACCAATACAACACAATACCCAGCAAACCCCCTCTCCCACCCATCATGCGCACCTCCTCCACGTACTAAACTCATACTCCTCGACTCCCACCAACCCCACGCAGAACAAAACACCTCAGCATTCCTTTCCGTGCTTTCATTGGCGTGCATCCATCGCAGCACACCTAAAAAGATTCTCAACGACACGTCCAGCGGGATTCTTACCAACACGAAGAGCAAGATTCTCCACCACAATTTCAGCGGGATTCGGCATGATGATGGTCAAAGCGATCACTATAAGCGTCTTATAGGGTGGGGCTCGATCGCGCCTCACTACGAGGGCCGATCGCAGTCTCTGAGCCAACATGAACATGCAGTGAGTGCTCTGACCGAACGGTTAATTGGAAACTGTCTGACTAAGTTGGTTCCCCTCCCCAGCAACAACATTGACTGTGGCCATGAAGCACCCGGGCCGCTGCCGCATAGCACAGAGACGGTATGCCCGCTGGTGATTATCCCACTATCATGATTACTTGGCTAACTGTTTTTGACAGAGACTGGCAGTCTTGGAGAATTCGGTCAGCGGCCTGAGGCCGACTTTATATTCCTTTGGTGGTGTGATCGTTGTAGGCGTAAATTTCTCCATGATTTCTTTGATGATTGTTTTGTAACACGCATTACTAGGTCGGCCTCAAGCTAGGGGTCTATGATGGATATATGGAAGGTCGCTTTAGGGCCTAGCTCAACGCCCATGCCGTCCACATGGACGAGAAACTTGAAAAGAACACTAATGACATCGTCCTCCTCACCGTGGAGGTTGCGGCCATGAAGGGAAAGATTGAGGGTACTGGTGGTTTTTGGGGGCCTTGAGAATTAGTTGCGTGCGTGGTACTAGGTTCCGGTGTTGGGCCGTTGTATTGTGTTCTGGTGTTTAGAGGGAAAATTTTACATCGTCTCCCCTCATCTTAATCGTTCTCTCCTAGTGACAGTGACGCATGGCTTAACCTCCAGTAAGGTACTACCCCCACAATACATACTACGGGCCCTAGGACTTGATGGCTACTGTGGTTCTCTATCCTAACGCTTTCCTGTCTTCTTTTTCATCAGCTTGATGGTCTAAATTGAATACTCATTCCCAGGGGCTTACTGCGGCCACATCCTCACTCTCGCATTATCACTACGTCTCATGCCCCATCCATAAGACCCCGTAGTACTACCCCCACCACCCCCATCACCCCCAACTGCCCCCCTTCCCTTTATCCCCCTCCTCCTCCTCCATCACCGCAGTACTATACACTATGGTAGTTCACGCTTCTCGCTGCGATGCCGACACGCGCGCACACAGAGACCAGGATCTGCAGCGAAAAATCTACAGTGTGTTGGGATGAGCCTAGGTGGGGGGGTTTGGGGACATGGTGATGCGGAACTTGAAGAGCCTGGGGATGGCGGAGATGGTGATCGTGGTGAGGTGGGAGGTGAGGAGTCTGTTAGTTGACCAGTTGGTGGATTGAATGGATTGGGTGGGCACCTCGCGTGTGTATAATTACCGAATACGGCAGATATATATAGATACATATGTGCCGAGCCTGATGTGAGACGGGTTGGATATGCTATCTGTGTCTGAGGCATGCCAGGACACCGAAGTGGGGGTTGAATACTGAGGGAAAGACTCGGACGGGTTGGATAGTCGTCGGAGTACTGGTATTCCCAGTGAGAGTATGGTAGGTAGATAAAGGTTTATCACCATCGGATGGTGACTTACTCTACAGTACTCTACCGGTGGTTGGTGCCATGCCGCTTCACTGCTTGCTTGCTTTAGCTATCGTATCGGATTGACCAGGGGCTACGCCAATATATCCCAAGCATTATGATTAATTCCCCAAAACTATTTACAAATTCCAGGCACCACCACCATTACTCCCGCTCAATGCCCATGCACACTCGCCTTCATTGTCTCCCCCTTCGCCGGCTTCACCCACTCATCCACCCACGTCTGATTCTTCCTCAGCTTCCTACTTACACTCTCCAAATTAAGCCCAAACAAATCCACAATAAAATCCGCAACCTCGGTAT